TAGCAGTTATATATCATTTTATATATACGGCTATAGTAACATTTTTTGTAAAAAAAAAGTTTGTTGTTGTAGTACACACCCTAGAACGATGAAATCCGGAAAAAATGTATGTCATCCGATTTCTACACTTCTGACTTAAAGTTCTATATAGGTTTTTATCGTGCACAAGATCGTCCGATAGCAGTTATATATCATTTTATATATACGGCTATAGTAACATTTTTTGTAAAAGAAAAGTTTGTTGTTGTAGTACACACCCTAGAACGATGAAATCCGGAAAAAAATATATGCCATCCGATTTCCACACTTCCAACTTAAAGTTCTATATAGGTTTTTATCGTGCACAAGATCGTCCGATAGCAGTTATATATCATTTTATATATACGGCCATAATAACATTTTTTGGAAAAAAAAGTTTGTTGTTGTAGTACACACCCTAGAACGATGAAATCCGGAAAAAAATTTATGCCATACGATTTCTACACTTCCAACTTAAAGTTCTATATAGGTTTTTATCGTGCACAAGATCGTCCGATAGCAGTTATATATCATTTTATATATACGGCTATAGTAACATTTTTTGTAAAAAAAAGTTTGTTGTTGTAGTACACACCCTAGAACGATGAAATCCGGAAAAAAATGTATGCCATCCGATTTCTACACTTCCAACTTAAAGTTCTATATAGGTTTTTATCGTGCACAAGATCGTCCGATAGCAGTTATATATCATTTTATATATACGGCTATAGTAACATTTTTTGTGAAAGAAAAGTTTGTTGTTGTAGTACACACCCTAGAACGATGAAATCCGGAAAAAAATGTATGCCATCCGGTTTCTACACTTCCAACTTAAAGTTCTATATAGGTTTTTATCGTGCACAAGATCGTCCGATAGCAGTAATATATCATTTTATATATACGGCTATAGTAACATTTTTTGTAAAAAAAAAGTTTGTTGTTGTAGTACACACCTTAGAACGATGAAATCCGGAAAAAAATGTATGCCATCCGATTTCTACACTTCCAACTTAAAGTTCTATATAGGTTTTTATCGTGCACAAGATCGTCCGATAGCAGTTATATATCATTTTATATATACGGCTATAGTAACATTTTTTGTAAAAAAAAAGTTTGTTGTTGTAGTACACACCCTAGAGCGATGAAATCCGGAAAAAAATGTATGTCATCCGATTTCTACACTTCCAACTTAAAGTTCTATATAGGTTTTTGTCGTGCACAAGATCGTCCGATAGCAGTTATATATCATTTTATATATACGGCTATAGTAACTTTTTTTGTAAAAAAAAAGTTTGTTGTTGTAGTACACACCCTAGAACGATGAAATCCGGAAAAAAATGTATGCCATCCGATTTCTACACTTCCAACTTAAAGTTCTATATAGGTTTTTATCGTGCACAAGATCGTCCGATAGCACTTATATATCATTTTATATACATATATGACCATAGTAACATTTTTTGAATGTTTTTTATTAAAAGGCATTCTGTAACGATATAATCCCAAATATATTTATATTTTATCAGATTTGTTCCTTTCCACATTTATACACATATTTTAATTGATCAAAAATATTTTTTTTAATGTAAATCATGAAAATCAATTTTTTTGAATTTTTTCCACGTGCATAAACACATATTGAAAATGTAAATAATGAAAACGAGTTTTTGCGTCTTTTCCACGTGCAGAAACACATATTTGTAAACAAAAATAACTCACCACACCAAAAAAAATGTTTATTTTGATAAAACAGCTGTTACGGTTTGTTTTATTTTTCGTCGGGTTGTTTTCTTTATGTGCGCACATAAAGAAAACAATCCGACGAAAAATAAAACAAACCGTAACAGCTGTTTTATCAAAATAAACATTTTTTTTGGTGTGGTGAGTTTTTTTTGTTTACAAAAATGTGTTTGTGCACGTGGAAAAGACGCAAAAACTTGTTTTCAATATTTACATTTTCAATATGTGTTTATGCACGTGGAAAAGATTCAAAAAAATTGATTTTTATGATTTACTTAAAAAAAATTATTTTTGATCAATTAAAATATGTATATAAATGTGGAAAGGAACAAATCTGATAAAATATAAATATATTTGGGATTATATCGTTACAGAATGTCTTTTAATAAAAAACAATCAAAAAATGTTACTATGGTCATATATAGAAAATGATATATAAATGTTATCGGACGATCTTGTGCACGATAAAAACTAATATAGAACTTTAAGTTGGAAGTGTAGAAATCGGATGGCATACATTTTTTTCCGGATTTCATCGTTCTAGGGTGTGTACTACAACAACAAACTTTTTTTTTACAAAAAATGTTACTATGGCCGTATATATAAAATGATATATAACTGCTATCGGACGATCTTGTGCACGATTAAAACCTATATAGAACTTTAAGTTGGAAGTGTAGAAATCGGATGGCATACATTTTTTTCCGGATTTCATCGTTCTAGGGTGTGTACTACAACAACAAACTTTTTTTTACAAAAAATGTTACTATGGCCGTATATATAAAATGATATATATCAGCTATCGGACGATCTTGTGCACGATAAAAACCTGTATAGAACTTTAAGTTGAAAGTGTAGAAATCGGATGACTTACATTTTTTTCCGGATTTTGGTATATTGGTATTTTTATTACAATTATTGGAGTTAATATCTTTTTCTTAAGGGGAACTTATATGGGGGTAGGGTTAATTTTGGACCAACCCATAAAGATTTTGGATCATATAAATCTTGTAAAATAATTTCCTGATCCTCATAAAATTTGGCAAAAAGATTTTAGTTCCTATAAAACTTGTTTTTGTCGTTTTTCTTCGCTATACTGGAATATTGAACGGACGATCTTGTGCACGATTAAAACCTATATAGAACTTTAAGTTGGAAGTGTAGAAATCGGATGGCATACATTTTTTTCCGGATTTCATCGTTCTAGGGTGTGTACTACAACAACAAACTTTTTTTTACAAAAAATGTTACTATGGCCGTATATATAAAATGATATATATCAGCTATCGGACGATCTTGTGCACGATAAAAACCTGTATAGAACTTTAAGTTGAAAGTGTAGAAATCGGATGACATACATTTTTTTCCGGATTTCATCGTTCTAGGGTGTGTACTACAACAACAAACTTTTTTTTTTACAAAAAATGTTACTATGGCCGTATATATAAAATGATATATAACAGCTATCGGACGATCTTGTGCACGATAAAAACCTGTATAGAACTTTAAGTTGAAAGTGTAGAAATCGGATGACATACATTTTTTTCCGGATTTCATCGTTCTAGGGTGTGTACTACAACAATAAACATTTTTTACAAAAAATGTTACTATGGCCGTATATATAAAATGATATATAACTGCTATCGGACGATCTTGTGCACGATAAAAACTTATATCGAACTTTAAGTTGGAAGTGTAGAAATCGGATGGCATAATCTGTTTGAGATTTTAGGTAGGGTCAACTGTGGACCGACCCTTACAAAGTTCAACAGATAAATTTTGTTTCATATAAAAGTTGTTGTCGAATTTTATAGCTAATTTTTTAAGCCAGTTATGAGTGGTAGTAATTTCCAGAGGTGGAGCTTATATCGGGGATAGGTTAAATTATGGACCGATCCCCTTAAATTTGACAAAACGATTTTGACTCCTTGTTTATGTGGAATTTCGTTGCTATATTGGTATTTTTATTACAATTATTGGAGTTAATATCTTTTTCTGAAGGGGAACTTATATGGGGGTAGGGTTAATTTTGGACCAACCCATAAAGATTTTGGATCATATAAATCTTGTAAAATAATTTCCTGATCCTCATAAAATTTGGCAAAAAGATTTTAGTTCCTATAAAACTTGTTTTTGTCGTTTTTCTTCGCTATACTGGAATATTGAAGTTCAATAATAAACTCCATCTACTAAAAATATTTTGGCAAATAACTATTGTCTAAGATCCTAGTCTATACTTTTATGGATTTTAGACCAATATTTCGGTGTAAAAGTTCCTTGGCTCCCTGATGAGTTTATCGTATACCGATATTGTCCATATTCAATAACAAACTCAATCAACTAAAATTATTTTGGCAAATATTGACTAGATGGTCTTAGACTGTAATAAGATCCCAGCATATACTTTTATGGATATTAGACCAATATTTCGATGTGTTACAAACGGTGTAAAATGTTCCTTGATTCCCTGATGGGTAGTGTCTTCCAAGTGGTGATTTAACGATCTTGAAAGTGACGGAACTAATAGGGAATCACATTGTTTGCCGGTCTCTGGTAAGATTTTAGGTTGATAGTCATGCTGCACTTAAAGCATTAATATGTCATAGCTGTATTCTTTCATAGTCGTAGAATGAAGAAAAGTTCTAAGTGTTATTATGAGACCGTTTACAATAAGGCTGTGTTGGGTACCAGGACCCTGCAATATACACAAATAAGGTATCTGGCGAACTGATACGATGAGGCTCGAATCTTGTCCCATATGAACGGAACAAGAAGTTAAAGCCACCCCTTTTTCATTTTTTTAGGTTGATCTCCGATGGATTCCGTGACTTTCAACCAGTCATGGAATATAGAATGAATTGCACATTATATATGGCCGTTTTAAAAATACTTGATTCTAAAGAAACCGGGATTATTATTGGGGTAGATGGTGTACACCAAGAACACTTGCACTGGCTATAAAACATTATTAAAATACATAAATTTTTCTTAGCACAAAATAAATATGTCTAGTAATTTGTTTTTGTTTCATTTGTTTACGTTTTTACAGAAACTCACCACACAACAATCAAAAACAGCTGTTAGGGTTTGCTGTTTTATCAAAAGGTTGTTTTATTAACGGGTATAATTAACTAAACAAAACTATTCATTACTTGCTGTAGGGTGAACCGATTACTAATTAAAGTACAACAATGACAACACTGACAGAACAGCTGGGTAAATCACATTATTGTTGTTGTTATTATATATTTTCATTGAAATAAAACCGTATACGTGTGTACGAATTTTATTTTCGATTATTTTACAATTGCATTAAGAATATTACAAATTTTAAGTATTTGTCTGAAATAAAACAAAATTTAGGTCATCCGACTATTACATAATAATAACAATATTAAAAATTTAATTGCAATCATAAACAAACTTTAACGAAAATAAATCTAACTAGAATTGTTGTAGCCAACTGAAGATAACTTGGTTTAATTTGCGGCAAAAAGGTAAACAAAAGGCACGTACTTGTACGTACTATAAAAATAATCATTCCAAGTTACCACCAGACTGATTCCGCCACTAAGATATATTTAGTGATAGTTTTCTACAGATTTAATAAAGAGTTAACAAACAATAAAAAACGAGAATACGCTTATCAATTTATAAGTTTAGTTTTTGTATATAGTATCTCAACGTTTGTTTTTATGTTTTTAGTAGAATATTTGTTTATCTTTTTTATTATTATACAGTTATTTATTTTCCCTATGCTTTGCAGATCATTCACCCAAAGAGTTTTCATTTCAAAGAGAAAACAACAGGAAGAGTAGATATTAACAAGAGAAAGAGAGTGATTGATGATCTTTGGTTAAATTTTCCCCCAAAAAAGTGACTTTATGCGTATAGAACTTGACATTTGAAAATTATTAACAAAATTTCGTCGAAACTAATACGCAGCACATTTGCTGCTGCTCCTCCTATTTTTACACGAATTTTGGATAGAATAATGATGGGCTCCTCTACGGAAATGAATCAACAAGAAGATAACACTATGAACGAGACCAGCATACGTTTGCAGGATATTAAACAATTGTGTGATGATCACTGTAAAATAAAAGATCCGGCACGTGTTGAACGTATACTAAATGAATTTGTTAGAGGAGGAACGGAGCGTCTGCAACTAGTTTCGGACTTTGATTATACCATCACAAAACAACGTACGGCCGATGGTAAACCGGTGCTGAGTAGTTTTGGTATTTTAAATGCCTGCAAGTCATTGCCGCCCAACTTTATAGAGGAATCGGATAAATTGTATCACAAGTATCGACCGATTGAAATTGATCCTCATATACCGACTAAGGATAAGATAAAGCATATGATTGATTGGTGGACTAAGACGGGTGAATTATTAGTGTGAGTATAAAGTGACAAAGAAATTTTACTTAGTAAGCAAAAACAAATATTTAAAACCTTAGACTAGTTATGGACCGACCAGCAAAATAATCCTATTGCAGTAATAAAACCATTTATACATTTATTAAAGAGCAGAAAGTAGTAAAATTTTAATTTAAATAACTTAATAAACCTTTATTCTAAAGGGGTGTTTTACAACATCATTTATTTTAATTTAAATTAATGATTGAAAACAGAAATCTAGTGGATTTCCGGCAATCTTTACAATGTTTTTTTTATTGCCCTTAAATACCAGTTGTATGAAATAGATTTTTGTTTTGCAAGTCATAATCTACACCATATACTCATCATAATATAACACAAGACTAGAATTTATACAAGACTGAGGCCTAGATTATAGACAATGCCATAGACTAAATTATATATTTAACTAATTAATAAATTAAAGACTATTGATTACACTATAGATCTAACTATAGTCTAGACTATGTACTAGACTATAAACTGGACTATAGACTATAGATTAGACCATAAACTAGACTAGACTATAGGCTAGACTATAGATTATACTATACACTAGACTATACACTGGACTATAGACTAGACTATACTCTAGAATATACTCTAGACTATACACTAGACTGTACACTAGACTATACACTAGACTATACATTAGCCTATACACTAGACCCTAGACTATAGGCTAGACTATAGATTATTCTATACACTAGACTATACACTGGACTATAGACTAGACTATACTCTAGATTATACTCTAGACTATACACTAGACTGTACACTAGACTATACACTAGACTATACATTAGCCTATACACTAGACCCTACACTAATGTACAGACTAGTCTATAGTATAGACTGTACATTACGTTATAGACAGGACTATAGTTTATAATCTATACTAGAATATACATATACTATACTATTAATCTTGTAATCTAATAATAGATATAAATTTTGCACACAACACCATCAATTTTGTTACCCATAACCAATTCTTTTCTCTTTCAGTGGTTTCCCTTTGGGACAAAGTGAAATTGATGGTATTGCCGGCAAATATAAAGATGCTTTGCGTGATCGCACTAACGTTCTTTTCGAAACGCTTAATCGTTTGGATATACCCGTCTTAGTATTCTCAGCTGGTTTAGGCAATTCCGTAATATCCGTATTGCAGCAAGCCAATGTTATGTACTCGAATGTTAAAGTGGTCTCGAACTTTTTACAATACAAAGATGGTTTATTAAATGGTTTCCAACAGCCCATGATTCATACATTCAATAAAAATGAAACAGCATTGGATGGCAGTGAATATTATGATTTGGTACATAGTCGTGATCATATCATTGTTATGGGTGATTCCATAGGAGATGCTGATATGGCAAATGGTGTGCCGTCTTCATCGCATATTATTAAAATAGGATTTTTATTTGATCATGTAAGTAGGTGGTGGTAAGCATATGAGTTCTTTAAAAATGTCTGTTTTTTTGTACTTTTAGCCCGAACAAAATTTAGAAAGATATATGAATGCTTTCGACATAGTGTTAATTGATGATCAAACCATGGATGTGCCATTGGCTTTGTTGTCTGCTATTGAAAACTTTCAGCAACGTTTACAATCAAACTCAACTTCAAATACCGAGGCTCAAATAGTTCAGTAAATTTGGTTAAGTAGCGGCTAACTCCCAAAGTTTCTAGTTAAGTGTGTTAATGACGGTATCTCCATTAAAAATATATCTAAAACTAACTGTAACTAATGCAAAGCATACATTATCGAATCTGTTCTGAATTTTTTCTAAGTGTATTTATTACGTTTTGTTTAATACCAATCAAAGGACTCAGTTTTATTATCTAAACCTATATAATGTAACTTTAATAAAAATAATACAGACAAGTATTAAAAATATGGATTTTACTGAGAGGATAAAATTGGCTAAATGTCTTGACAGAAATCTTGTTAGTTATTTTTAGTAATGTCTTTAGTGGATCAAAATATAAATTACCCCAAGTGGTAATTAAATAATGCCCCTATTATGGTTTACAACTCAACTCTGTTGAGTTGAAATTGAAACAACTTAACTTTGGAACAACTAAACTTTTTTTTGGTATTATGAATTACAACCAATTTCAGTTGTAATTGTGTTGATGTTGCCAACCTAAAAAGTGCTTTTTTGTCATAAAATTAAGTGAAAAGTTTATGAATTAAATTAAATAACGAGTACGAAATATTTTCGGTGTTGAAGTTCTTTAAAACTAACCATAAGCCGTTTCTACACCGAATAACTAAACAACTAAAATTAATTTATAATACACCCTGTTAAATAATACACAACATATGTTTTTACTCTCTCAGAGAATTAAATTGACAACAGCTAAAAAAAACAAAAACATTTAAACGTCAAATTAGACAGTTCATAAAATTTCCTAGTGTCATGCTAAAGAAAAAAAAACTGAGAAAATACACAAAAGGTTATTGTTAAAAAACTTTATTAATTAATTAAAATTTCTTAAAAGTAATTAAATATAATATAAACTTAAAAAGAAATGTTAAAACAACAATAACAAATAAATTAAATAAAATCCAAAAAAAAGAATTCAAGAAAAACTAATCCTACATACGGAAGTGCTTTGAAAAGATTGTGAAAGAAAATTAACACAAAAAACATATTACACCATAAACAACAAAACTACAACAGTTTAGACCTTGAAAACTAAACAAGAAATTTCCAATTGTTACAACTGGACCCAGCAAAAGCTATATAGAAAAAGAGAAAAATCATTACAAAAACTATGTTTGGCTTCGATGGTGAATATCGTCGTAAGCCGAGCCAAAGTTTTGGTGGTGCCTCGACCAGCAGTGATCGGGAAACGATTATACGCAAAGCTGCTGAGGAGCGTTTGAAACGCAATCAATTGCGTCGTGAAAACAATGGAGCGATTGTTTTGCAATCCTATTTACGTTCATTTATACATCGACAGCGCCGTAAGCGTTATGAACGTGAAACATTTGATGAATTTTTACGCACTCATCGTGATAAACTTACACAAGATGAAAATCTGGCTTTTTTACTCAAAAGAATTATATTTTTTTACAATTCAAAAGAGACCAAAGATGGTGAGAGATTGGTAAGTGATGATTAAGTCATTCCCATTAAAGATTAGATAGTAGACAAGACCATAAGCAGACCACAGACTCGATTATAGAATAGAATAAAGAATAAATTATAAACTGGACTAAGGATACGGTTAAACATTAGACTATAGACTAGACTATAGACTAGAATATAGACTAGACTATAGACTAGACTATAGACTAGACTATAGACTAGACTATAGACTAGACTATAGACTAGACTATAGACTAGACTATAGACTAGACTATAGACTAGACTATAGACTAGACTATAGACTAGACTATAGACTAGACTATAGACTAGACTATAGACTAGACTATAGACTAGACTATAGACTAGACTATAGACTAGACTATAGACTAGACTATAGACTAGACTATAGACTAGACTATAGACTAGACTATAGACTAGACTATAGACTAGACTATAGACTAGACTATAGACTAGACTATAGACTAGACTATAGACTAGACTATAGACTAGACTATAGACTAGACTATAGACTAGACTATAGACTAGACTATAGACTAGACTATAGACTAGACTATAGACTAGACTATAGACTAACTATAGACTAGACTATAGACTAGACTATAGACTAGACTATAGACTAGACTATAGACTAGACTATAGACTAGACTATAGACTAGACTATAGACTAGACTATAGACTAGACTATAGACTAGACTAGACTATAGACTAGACTATAGACTAGACTATAGACTAGACTATAGACTAGACTATAGACTAGACTATAGACTAGACTATAGACTAGACTATAGACTAGACTATAGACTAGACTATAGACTAGACTATAGACTAGACTATAGACTAGACTATAGACTAGACTATAGACTAGACTATAGACTAGACTATAGACTAGACTATAGACTAGACTATAGACTAGACTATAGACTAGACTAGAACTAGACTATAGACTAGACTATAGACTAGACTATAGACTAGACTATAGACTAGACTATAGACTAGACTATAGACTAGACTAGACTAGACTAGACTAGACTATAGACTAGACTATAGACTAGACTATAGACTAGACTATAGACTAGACTATAGACTAGACTACTAGACTAGACTATAGACTAGACTATAGACTAGACTATGACTAGACTATAGACTAGACTAGACTAGACTATAGACTAGACTATAGACTAGACTATAGACTAGACTATAGACTAGACTATAGACTAGACTATAGACTAGACTATAGACTAGACTATAGACTAGACTATAGACTAGACTATAGACTAGACTATAGACTAGACTATAGACTAGACTATAGACTAGACTATAGACTAGACTATAGACTAGACTATAGACTAGACTATAGACTAGACTATAGACTAGACTATAGACTAGACTATAGACTAGACTATAGACTAGACTATAGACTAGACTATAGACTAGACTATAGACTAGACTATAGACTAGACTATAGACTAGACTATAGACTAGACTATAGACTAGACTATAGACTAGACTATAGACTAGACTATAGACTAGACTATAGACTAGACTATAGACTAGACTATAGACTAGACTATAGACTAGACTATAGACTAGACTATAGACTAGACTATAGACTAGACTATAGACTAGACTATAGACTAGACTATAGACTAGACTATAGACTAGACATAGACTAGACTATAGACTAGACTATAGACTAGACTATAGACTAGACTATAGACTAGACTAGACTAGACTAGACTAGATAGACTAGACTAGACTAGACTATAGACTAGATAGACTAGACTAGACTAGACTAGACTAGACTATAGACTAGACTAGACTAGACTATAGACTAGACTAGACTATAGACTAGACTAGAGACTATAGACTAGACTATAGACTAGACTATAGACTAGACTATAGACTAGACTATAGACTAGACTATAGACTAGACTATAGACTAGACTATAGACTAGACTATAGACTAGACTATAGACTAGACTATAGACTAGACTATAGACTAGACTATAGACTAGACTATAGACTAGACTATAGACTAGACTATAGACTAGACTATAGACTAGACTATAGACTAGACTATAGACTAGACTATAGACTAGACTATAGACTAGACTATAGACTAGACTATAGACTAGACTATAGACTAGACTATAGACTAGACTATAGACTAGACTATAGACTAGACTATAGACTAGACTATAGACTAGACTATAGACTAGACTATAGACTAGACTATAGACTAGACTATAGACTAGACTATAGACTAGACTATAGACTAGACTATAGACTAGACTATAGACTAGACTATAGACTAGACTATAGACTAGACTATAGACTAGACTATAGACTAGACTATAGACTAGACTATAGACTAGACTATAGACTAGACTATAGACTAGACTATAGACTAGACTATAGACTAGACTATAGACTAGACTATAGACTAGACTATAGACTAGACTATAGACTAGACTATAGACTAGACTATAGACTAGACTATAGACTAGACTATAGACTAGACTATAGACTAGACTATAGACTAGACTATAGACTAGACTATAGACTAGACTATAGACTAGACTATAGACTAGACTAGACTAGATAGACTATAGACTAGACTATAGACTAGACTATAGACTAGACTATAGACTAGACTATAGACTAGACTATAGACTAGACTATAGACTAGACTATAGACTAGACTATAGACTAGACTATAGACTAGACTACTAGACTAGACTATAGACTAGACTATAGACTAGACTATAGACTAGACTATAGACTAGACTATAGACTAGACTATAGACTAGACTATAGACTAGACTATAGACTAGACTATAGACTAGACTAGACTACTAGACTAGACTATAGACTAGACTATAGACTAGACTAGACTATAGACTAGACTAGACTAGACTAGACTAGAGAGACTATAGACTAGACTAGACTAGACTAGACTAGACTAGACTAGACTAGACTAGACTAACTAGACTAGACTAGACTAGACTAGACTAGACTAGACTATAGACTAGACTAGACTATAGACTAGACTAGACTAGACTATAGACTAGACTAGACTAGACTAGACTAGACTAGACTAGACTAGACTAGACTAGACTATAGACTAGACTAGACTATAGACTAGACTAGACTATAGACTAGACTATAGACTAGACTATAGACTAGACTATAGACTAGACTATAGACTAGACTATAGACTAGACTATAGACTAGACTATAGACTAGACTATAGACTAGACTATAGACTAGACTATAGACTAGACTATAGACTAGACTATAGACTAGACTATAGACTAGACTATAGACTAGACTATAGACTAGACTATAGACTAGACTATAGACTAGACTATAGACTAGACTATAGACTAGACTATAGACTAGACTATAGACTAGACTATAGACTAGACTATAGACTAGACTATAGACTAGACTATAGACTAGACTATAGACTAGACTATAGACTAGACTATAGACTAGACTATAGACTAGACTATAGACTAGACTATAGACTAGACTATAGACTAGACTAGACTATAGACTAGACTATAGACTAGACTATAGACTAGACTATAGACTAGACTATAGACTAGACTATAGACTAGACTATAGACTAGACTATAGACTAGACTATAGACTAGACTATAGACTAGACTATAGACTAGACTAGACTATAGACTAGATATAGACTAGACTATAGACTAGACTATATCGTATAGACTAGACTATAATAAGACTCTTAGACTAACTACTAACATACTAGACGATCCTTAGCTAGACTATAGACTGTTATACTTCCTATAGACTACACTAGACTAGACATTACTCACACGTTTTTCCTTTTCTTCTTTTTCTTCTTACGATAGACATTTGATCACAAGTCGTAAAAGAATCCCGCGCGTTTAGTGCAATTTCCACTACGAGGCTGGGTCCTGGCTGCATCGGCCTTAAAAAACCTACATCAGCTTATGTATCATACAATTAACATCTGTCCAACAGACATCACAAGCCATACCGCTGAGAATGCTGGAGACATTCACTGCGGAAACATCCATCGAGCGTTATGTCGAAAACGAACAACTAATCAAACCTATTTAGATCGTATATTTCGTTATTTAGTAGATAAAGAACTATTACAAGCGTTTGCGTGAACTATTAGAACAAAAATGCCCACCATTAGATGGTGAGACACTACATCCACCAAATCAATTTTCAGAGGCTATATTTCAACTTATGCTTAGACCTTTATTGTTGGCCAATAAAGCGGCATCCGGTTTTTCCTATGGCAATATTATTTGTCAATCATTTACTAAACATATACTAGCGCTGCCATATACCGATTGTATACGTTATTTTTTGCTACCCTGCTTTGCCGAATGTTCAGAATTTCCTTTTGAATATTTACTTAAAACTTTGCAACAGTGTACAAGAACACAATTGCCAGAAAAAATGCAAGTTGATAGCAGTCCCGTGGTGACCTTTACAGGAGCCTCCGCAGCTGAAAGTCTTAATGCGACTTCAAATTCAAGTTCACCTTCCGGCAATAAGGCTATGGAGGATAAGTCACAGGAACCAACTAAGATATTTAGCACATTTTTATTACATTCTTTGCTAATGTTGGACCGTAAACAATTAAGTAAGTTTTTGTTGGAAAAAAAATTTCAAATTAAAGAGTGTTATTATATTTTTGTTTAAACTTTAGAATCTTTACATGCCAAGTCTTTGTTGGGGGATTATATCAAAGTTATAGCTGAAGTATCGCCGAAAATTTTACAACTACCCAAATCATCGTTAAAACATACCGGCCATCATCAACGTTATCATCCTCATGCTAGTGAAGATACCTCATCCGATGATGACTCTGAAGACGAAGAGGAAGAAGATCAATATCAAAATAAACGCAATATACAATCCATGGATACCGTGGATGTAATGACTATGTCAGTACCCTTGTCAGAAACTGAAAAAGATAGTTTACTGGAGTGTATACAATTATTAAATGAGGGTGAACGTGTTCATAGTATATTAGACTATATAGAGGAGTATCTGAAAGATGAAGAAGTGCTCTATGGGCTGTGCGAAATTTGTCATAATTTAATGATTTACAATAAAATGGCCATGTTTGAATATAAGTAAGTGTGCTGAAAGAAGACTAAATAAGAAAGTATTGTATTAATTTTCTGGATTTCTTTAAAGGCTTTTATATACTTTGGCTTTTATGCCCAACTTTATACGTGCCGTTTGGTTTACCCTAATAGCACAATCAAAACAACAGGGCTTTAATGCCCCCTTGACATTGATATCTAAAGGTGTAGTGCGTAAGTATTTAGAGAATGTTTTTTGTACTTCAGTTTTAATTGTTTTTGTATTGCAGCTAAACAAGCTGGTGCTGAATCATTTGTGCCTTTATTGGCCACTTTCTGTATGCTTTTTGGACGCCTATTGCCTACTTTACACGATGTAGAGTTTTGTGATGAAAAGTTATTGATCGAAAAGCCTTTACAGCCCACTTTACATGTACGTCTTATGCCCTTTTCTTTGGCTGAAATTGTGCAATTATCGAAAACACTTAAAGAGGTTTCTTTGGGTTTGGTAGAATTGGCTTTTCCCGAAACTCGCTCAAATCTTAATCAACATTATCGTTTTGTTTTGGGTCGTTCCGATTCGGATGATAAAAAAATCAAGCAACAAAAACAAATTTGGTCAAATCTTTTAAAGGTGGTGGTATTTGTTCTGAATCAAATACATACCAGAGATTTAAGATTAGGTTTCTGTCCTGAGTTACATTGGACGGTAACACGCCTGGATTTGCCTTTAGATAGACCTGCTGATTTACCTTTAACACGAGGCAGTCGTACCCGCGGCATAAGACCCTTTCAACCTATACGTGATTTTACACGGGAAGATTTTGAAAATGGTCCTCCCATGTCCACGAAACAAATACGTTCTATTACCATATTAAGGGAAATACCATTTGTGGTGGCCTTTAGCAAACGTGTGGGTATATTACAGGGCCTGGTGGCAGCTGATAAAATGCGTGTTCAAGGTCACTTGCAGGCCTTTCTGCAGGGTCCCTCGATAACTTTGACAGTGCGTAGAACCCACTTATATGAAGATGCTTATGATAAACTAAGGCCGGAAAATGGTAGTTTTACATTTTTTAAATTTGTTTGTGAATTTTTTTTTAAATTTTTTTAAATATTTTCTATAGAACCTGACTTACGCTTAAAATTCCGTGTACAGTTTGTTTCCTCTTTGGGTTTGGATGAGGCGGGTATAGATGGCGGTGGTGTTTTTAGAGAATTTTTATCGGAATTAATTAAAACTGCTTTTGATCCCAATAGAGGTTTTTTTATGTAAGTATTAACTTGTAAATTAAGCAAAACTTTTGTAATATTTGCCTTTTGTTGCAGGGTCACTACCGACAATAAACTCTATCCCAATCCTAATGTGGGCGATTTAGTGCCCGACTTTGAAAAACACTACTATTTCATAGGTCGCATTCTAGGCAAAGCGATCTATGAAAATCTCTTAGTTGAGCTACCTTTAGCAGAATTTTTCCTTACCAAATTGGCCGGCAAATATGCTGATGTGGATATACATCAATTGGCCTCTTTGGATCCGGAACTGTATAAAAATCTTCTCTATTTAAAAGACTATGAAGGTGATGTTAGTGAATTAAATTTAGATTTTACAGTAGCCAGTAGTTCTTTCGGTCAAACGCAAGTGATTGAATTGAAACCTCAAGGTCAAACGATACCAGTGACAAATTCAAATCGTATAGAATACTTGCAACTAATGGCCGATTATAAATTGAATGTACAGATAAGACAGCACTGTATAGCATTTCGTAAGGGTCTGTCAAATGTTTTACCAGTCGAATGGCTGTATATGTTTAGCAATAAGGAATTACAGATATTGATATCGGGTGCTGAAATACCCATAGACTTGGAAGATCTCAAAAAGCATTGTAAATATGGTGGTGAATATAGTCCAGAGCATCCTTCGATAGTGGCCTTCTGGTCGGCCTTAGAGAGTTTTGATGATTTGCAAAAAAGACAATTGCTGAAATTTGTAACGAGTTGTTCCCGGCCTCCTTTATTGGGTTTTAAGGTATTTTTTTTTTCTTACATCTTTCAACACTTGACAATATTTATTTTTTTTTTTAATTTAATATTTACAGGATTTGGATCCTCCCTTTTTTATACAAAATGCTGGTGATATGGAACGTTTACCCACGGCTAGTACTTGTACAAATCTTTTGAAATTGCCTCCCTTTAAGACAGTTGAACAAATGCGCGAAAAACTGCTCTATGCCATACAATCGGGTGTGGGCTTTGAATTAAGCTAAATCTTGTTTTATAACTTATTATTTTCCCCATTCCCTGTACTACTCCTCTTTTGTTATTTTCTCATGCAATTTTTCGAAAAAAAAAACAACTTTTTGGTTTTCTTTTCTTTTATATAAAAACTTATATTCCATTTTTTTTATTACTATTAATGTAAAAATTGTGTAATGAAATGTGCTAAAAAACATTTAAACAATTCAACAACAACAACAACTTTAATATTAATTAATCTCTAAAAATTGTAATTTAAATCTAAACATATAATTAATACATATTTATATAACAGCAAAATATAATGAACAAAGTTAAGAGAAATGAAATTCATTTATAAAACAAAAAAAAAAAAAAAATCATATCAAAAACTTCCAATTATCGATTCAAGACAACCTTACTATTAATTTATTTAATTGGTAAATGTTAAATATAAAACAATATGTTTATATAAGAATAAATGTATTTAATATGTATTTCATTTCTTTATTCTCTGGCCAATCTTCTTCGATCATTACTTAATTGGTAAGTTTAATTTAATATTTGGTTTATAGTTTTATTTTAAAATTTTCTGTTTTTGTTTTTATTTGTAGAATTTCTTAAGCTCCTGTAGTATTTGCTTATAGATTAAGCGTGGTGCTTCTGTAGAGTATAACAAATCAATATGATTGAATCCTCGTATTTCATGTAATGAATAATGAGTATTTTTCAATTTATTCGCCAATCGATAAACATCCTGTGAAATAGATGAAAAAAAAAAAAACTTCAATTAATATTTCGGCCAGTAGAATGAAATAAAAAGAAAAAAGTTATAAATTAAGAAAGGACTTTTTTACGTCCTGTAAAATGGAGTGAGAAAACTTCAAATATATTTAAGCCAGTAAAATGAAATAAAAACAAAAAAGTTATATATTAAGAAAGGATTTGAATATCCTGTAAAATGCAGAGAAAACTCCAATTAATATTTGTGCCTGTAGAAAGAAATAAAAAGAAAAAAGTTATAAGTTAAGAAAGGACTTCTTAATGTCCTGTGAAATGGAGAGAAAATTTGTGTCAGTAAAATGAAATAAAAAGAAAAAAGCAATTAGTTTAGAAAAGAGCTGTAATACTAAAGATTTCTCAGAGATCTTTTTTATACAGATTACTGTATTCTCAGAACGATATAAGTCTGTTGAATCCACTATTTTCTAATATTTACTTCACCTTTTGCTTTAAATATAGTCCTTGCTTGTATTAAAGTTCAAAAATGAGCAGAATACACAAAAATAACTTTACTCTTTGTCATTTCTCACAATTGTAAAATGGAAGTATAACAATTTGCTAAAAGACTTAATTCATAAACTCATTTTACCCCCGTTATTTTTTTTAGAGTTTGACTAAAGAGATAAATCTCCCATAATGTCTGTGCAAAGTCATAAATATTTCAAAATTTGTAACATATTTCTTGAGAAATTAATAAAATTTATAAAATGAAAAAGCACACATGACGTATGATGAATTTTGAAAGACATTATTATTCATAAGACGTGTAACACTCACATTAAATGATTTAAAGGAAATACAACATAACAGTGGGTGCGATTGCAAAAATTAAGCAATAAAACCTTTTTGCTGCTTGAGTTCATTATTTTTAAGACTTTATATGTCTATCATACCACTGTGGCGTGTAAATTTATACCACATTACACCACCACATTAGCTAAAGGTGCGTATTATGAGATGAAGATAAATAAAATTTAATATACACACATTAGGTACATACCCTGCCAGCAAATTTGAGTTTAATTTTGGATACATGAACTGAATAGTCACTTTAAAGGCTCAATTTTATGTTCCTTAGTACTAAGTTAAAAAAATTACAAAAACAAAATACAGTACTTTCTAATTTTGATCATAATTTTGTTAAATTTTAGTGCGTTTTAATATACCAAAAGCAAGATTAAATGATAATAAGTAGATAGAATAAAAATTTCAAAAACTAACACTTTTTAATACACTAAGAAGATAGTTTAATGCAGAATCATTCTTGCTCTCAAAATTCAGAAGGAAAAGTGTTTTCACATTTCAGTAAATATATTTATTTCATTGTGATCAGTTGTGTGATATATTGTGAACTTTAGATTTTGTAATAAATTGAGTTAATTTAAAATTTAATATATCTAAAACATAGTTTAATATAAAATAAGCATCAGTGAGAGATTAGTGAGTGCAAAACAGTATAATAAAGAAGAAATAAAAAAAAATTATTATAAAGTCGCTTTTATAACATAAAAGAGTATAAAATCATAACACTTTCCAGCTTCTCTATTGTTATGGCAAAACTGGAAATTTACTACATTTAGGAAATTTTATGTTATAAAAAAGTGACTTGAAACTGAAACGAAATGGGCACATCAAGTAAGTATTAAACAGGCGGAACAGTTTCTTCCGAACGGGGTCACTTTTCATTCACTCAGATTATATCAAATTAGATTGTTTTAAACATTAAGCTGTAACGTTATGGTTACAATTTGGATAGAAATTGTTGGCAGGGTATATACATTGTACATATGCAAGTGTATGTGTGTTATATTTATATTATTTACAATATAAATGTGAAATGTATTTTGTACATAACCAAAGTCAACTGGTAAATAATGGATATTGTATATGATTGTACACAAAATTGCAAATCCAATACACTTAGGAAAAATATTGTTCAAGTCTAGTCTAGTCTAGTCTATAGTCTAGTCTATAGTCTAGTCTATAGTCTAGTCTATAGTCTAGTCTATAGTCTAGTCTATAGTCTAGTAGTCTAGTCTATAGTCTAGTCTATAGTCTAGTCTATAGTCTAGTCTATAGTCTAGTCTATAGTCTAGTCTATAGTCTAGTCTATAGTCTAGTCTATAGTCTAGTCTATAGTCTAGTCTATAGTCTAGTCTAGTCTAGTCTATAGTCTAGTCTATAGTCTAGTCTATAGTCTAGTCTATAGTCTAGTCTATAGTCTAGTCTATAGTCTAGTCTATAGTCTAGTCTATAGTCTAGTCTATAGTCTAGTCTATAGTCTAGTCTATAGTCTAGTCTATAGTCTAGTCTATAGTCTAGTCTATAGTCTAGTCTATAGTCTAGTCTATAGTCTAGTCTATAGTCTAGTCTATAGTCTAGTCTATAGTCTAGTCTAGTCTAGTCTATAGTCTAGTCTATAGTCTAGTCTATAGTCTAGTCTATAGTCTAGTCTATAGTCTAGTCTATAGTCTAGTCTATAGTCTAGTCTATAGTCTAGTCTATAGTCTAGTCTATAGTCTAGTCTATAGTCTAGTCTATAGTCTAGTCTATAGTCTAGTCTATAGTCTAGTCTATAGTCTAGTCTATAGTCTAGTCTATAGTCTAGTCTATAGTCTAGTCTATAGTCTAGTCTATAGTCTAGTCCAGCGGTTCCCACCGATTTTTACTTTGCGGACCCCTTGAAGAACTTATTTAATTTCGCGGACCCCCATACATATTTGATATTCTATTGTTCTAAATAATTGTCCATTCGAAAATTGACCTAGTCCATTAATCCCTAGGTCTAATAAATGTAGAGATGTCATATCTATAAAATATTCCCGTACATTGAGAATATATAATATTTCAGATAGGTTTTCAATTGCATGTTTTGAAGATAGAATGACTTCTTTGTTGATATGTTAACATGATGTTTCATTTTATGATCGTGAGATCTTTCATGTTCATTTTTCTTCAAGGTAGCGAAAATATCAATATCAAATATTGTCACATGTGCTTAAGAAGTCACGTTATAAAAATTTGTTGCGATTGCAAAGGGTGAACTGAGTAAGTGAGCTAAGTTTTCGGGAAAATAATATAAGATAGTTGGACTTCTTCTATGTTGTTGCGGAATGCGTTATCCGCTTAATATATGATTTGAACTCTTTGTTAAAGTACTGTGAATTTGGAACTTAAATTTGAATTTTAAAATACCAACGAATTATTTTACTTAAAGAGTCACCTCTGTTTTGAAAATATATAATTTTAGTCCTTTCAAACAAGACCACTTTTGCTTACAATTTGATAAACTTAAATCTATAATAAGCTTGTCTTTGAATTGAACTTCATACTCCGGAATTAATTTAATTGTAAGGCAGAGTATTATTTGTCTGAAATAAAAACCATTATTTCAGTACATATACAGGAAATAAAAATTACAAATCACGCAATACTTTACTTTATAAAAGTTATACAATAAATTTGTACGGCCTAGCTTCTTCCTGATAAACAACCGAAAAAATAAAATTCAAAAAGTCACCAAAAAATTTAGGATTATTGCACAAAAATTGGAGATATTTGTACATACATATAAAAGAATATTGTTTATTCATGTTTTTTTCGTTCGTCTTCGCGGACCCCCTAGGATTTTACTACGGACCACTTGGGGTCCGCGGACCCCCATTTGGGAACCGTTGGTCTAGTCTATAGTCTAGTCTATAGTCTAGTCTATAGTCTAGTCTATAGTCTTGTCTATAGTCTAGTCTATAGTCTAGTCTATAGTCTAGTCTATAGTCTAGTCTATAGTCTAGTCTATAGTCTAGCCTATAGTCCAATCTATAGCATAAATAGGCGTGAAAAAGTCCACATTGAAAAATCATTCATGTGGTCTTGCCTATTGTTACCTACTCGAAATGTAGGGCATTCAAAATAAATAAGAAATCATAACATGTTGAACGTTTTAAACATTTATTTGTTCACCTAAGAAACAAAGCCACGTACATAGATGGTTGTACAACAACAACAATTGATGCACACTTTACATTAAACATGACGGACTGGCAAACCAAGAGAAAGAAAAACAACTGAAACAAAAAAGCACGAACCACCAAACCTGACAGCAATCATCAGTTGATATTTATAAATGTTAAAGCTAAAGTAAGAGAAAGTCCCAGAAAACAGAAAATATAAAAATATCTAAAAAAACTTGGTCGAAAACTAGAAAACTTTCAAAAATTGTTTACAAATAGAAAGCATTTTTGAAAATTTTGTATAATTAGAAAATTTTTTTTTCAATATTTTCTGTTAATAAAAAGCTTTATGCTAAATTGTATATATGTATGTATATAGAAAACTTTTTTCTAAAAATTTCTGTAAGTAAAAAGGTTTATCGAAAATTTTATCTAATGAC